CTCGATTTGGTCTGACACACCTGACCTTTTCCCTTTTAGGAGCGACGATGCCGATACGTACCGAGTTTCGTCTCCAAAAGTAGCTGTCTTTGGATGCTACTAGGCTAGGTAGTTTGCACACTTGCAGAATTTTCCCGGAGAGGGGACGTTGGTGAGAGAAGTATAGTTTGATGTCTTCCTTGACGAGGTTTGGAGAAGGACGGTTCGCGTAAGCTAGTGGACCCTACGTACCTTGACCAAAAGTGTAAGAGGCGCAAGTGTCAGATGCAAAAGGGATAGAGAAGGCCGTATGATTGGGACGGTTCGCTCGAGCAATGCAGTCCGCTTCGCGATGTGGAACCATGGCGTACTGGGTGCGGTACTAGATGTGTAGGTACCTACTTGATAAGGCTACTTTTCTAATTGCCGTTCGTCTGTGATGGGAAAAGCTCGAGTTGGGACGATGTCCAAATTGGCCTCAGAACTTAGGCACTGGAAGAGGCTCTGGCGGAACAAACATGCCTACCGATCGCGGCAGAGTCATGTAAGTATGCAGTATGCAGACACCATTATGACTTACAAGGGTCGTCTAAGACACGAAAGACATGGGTTCAGATAGGAAGTCATCCTATTTGGCGGTAGTTCCGCCGTTCTGTCCTCTTTCGTGCGTCTGGATAGGTCGAGCGCCTCTTTCAGGCAAGCGTTGCGGGGAGAATAACGAGTGCAACGGCCTCGGTATCTGAACGAACTCCAGCCCAATCATGACAGAGGGGGTGGCATGCTTGCCGCGAAGTTACGGCCAAGAGCTGCGAGCAGTTGTACTCGAGGCGGGTTAGCTGCAGCTGTCATCGACCTCTCGAATCGATCCCAACCCCAGTTTGCCTTGTATGCTTGTATGCCGTGAGGGAGTATTCGAGGTACGTAGTTGTTCTGTAGCGTGAAGAGAGAGTAGATCCCTGCTGCTTTGCGAGAAAGTGGTCGCCGACCTCAGAACTGGAGGGTGTGCGTCATAGGGCACAACTTTCTGCAAGTCCTACAAGTTCTGCAAGTATATGCGTCTAGACTCGAGAGACCCCTGGACATCTCACTCTCCACAGCTACAATCTCATCTCGTACGAAAAGAGTCTTGCGGAGAACGTAACGAGTTAGAACCGAAAAAAAAAGTTTCAAAGTTCAGACGACGGACTGCGACGGATAGGAGTCGACATGGAGTTGGAGGAATAACAAAATAAAAAATTGAGGCGGTTTGATGACGGTCCCAATGCTAAGCCCGCCAAGGCCATGGATCTGGTAACAAATAGTGTTACCATGTATTAATTTCCATCTATCCTTGCTGTTCATCATTGTTATATTGTATCATTGTTGCTGACCCAACTATCAACAAGCCCCAAGTAGGTACCAGATAATGGTACCTCATACTCGAGAGACAAGAGAGATTCCCAGGAACGCAAGTCGCAAGTCGCAAGCCTCCAAATCATTAATCATTAGAGAACTTGTTTATGTTGTTTCTTTAGGAAGACTTTTTTTTTTTTTTTTCTTTTTGTCATTCCCAAGTCATGCAGCCCCCCCGGGAATCACCAATTTAACAACTCTATAATACAAACCCCTTGACAATATTTGCCCACGAGGCTCGAAGCACACCCAGCTTTAACCAATGACAGAGCCTAACAAGATCCGCGCTGAACCAGCTCCAACCATGAAAGCTATAAGCGCCTATCGCAATCTGAGACTTTACATTTTGTTCCGTTTTAAGGTCCGGAGCGTCGCATACTTTCAAGTCAACTACCGTCGGGTCACGCACCTATCTCCAATACGCCCCAACTTGACTGACTTGACTGATTTTTTAACATGCTAGTGTCGTGATAGGCGGACAAATCTTGAATGATTCGGGCGAATCGAGCTATCCTGTGGCTGAGTTGGGTTCGTTAGGTTCGTTATTCAGAAGCTTAGCCTCGATTTGCGCTGCAGGTGTGTTGCATCACAACCCAGCTGCAATGAAACGAAGGTTCTGTTAATCATAGTTAGACCACATCTCGCATTTGCTTTCTTACACAAAGACACCCTCAAAACCGATCCCCTACTTTATCAGCTCCAAACGAAGTACCTTCGTGTCGCCGCATATTCAAACCCGATAGCGCACCCTCTTCGGAAACGCGGATGAAAAATCTGTAATGTCTAAGGGTGCAACCGGGATTTGTTGAACCCTGTCGTGATGATTCCGTGCGTATAACGGACTTTAAGTCGTAACCCGAGCAGAGCTCTTTTTGTAACTGGCTGACATCACCTCCCTCGTTCGCGCGCTCTCTCTCTCTCTCAGCTGCTGAACTATCTAACTTATCTAACTTATACTGTATCCAAGTCAGGCCTCCTATTGACAGGTCTCTTGACGAAGAGACTATATCAATTATGAATATATACCCATTGACCCATTATCAGCCTATCTTTTGTTAGTGTTCTCCCAAAGATTCAGGTCAGTTACCCCAGACCAGACTACATATTCGGGGATGGATATCACAACCCTCGCACGAATCCCCGAGTGAAGTTCGGCGAAATAATCGCAACATTCAACATAGATCTAATCGCTACGAAGATCTAAATCATGATAGTACGTCTCATTGGAGACCTCACCCGGGTCCTGACAGCTGCAGACCTACCCTCCTAATCAGCTTACCCCGGCTCATACCGCGCATTGCATTAGGGTCAGATCTCCTGCGTCCTCGCGGGCTGGAAAGCCTGGGACAGCTTCCCGTATGTAAGGAGGAAGGCTAGACCCTTAGGAATGGGCTGCATCGGCGCTAGATCTGTGTGTGTCTGGAGGACGCACCCGGTCTTGGCGAGCACAACGTCATGTGTGAGTGCGAAGATCTCCCATTTTCGGACGAACGATGCCTATCACAGACTGATCCGATAAGTCATATCCATTTTTGGAACTGCTAGTCGATAAGCTGTTTGCCTCGAGGCCTATCAGAGGTCGGGAAACGGTTCCTGAACCACCCAGACTAAAGGCCGGTCTTTCTTGCATACCTGGTAGGACTCGTACAGCCTCCCCTACGCCGTTCTACCCGAACCTCGTGGCAATGAATACAACCCCATTCACCTTATTCTTAGACGCATGCGATTCAGGTGAGGACGTGCTCAGCCTTGCAGACGACCAGCCAGCTGCTGTCCCTAGGGCGCCACCTATGGCGACTTCGAATCCATACAAGTATCGGTACACATACCACACTGAAGCTGAAAGCCACGCGCTAAATTCTCCTAGCCAATGATAGGGGATATGTCATCAGGCACGAATATATGTATATCATGATTCATATTCTCTCTATATGTAGTATCACAAGTAAACCTACATAAGAATACAGAACAAAACCAACTAATATCTACAATTGCAGGAGGCACTAATACGAATGAGCAAGGTCGCAGGAGAGTTTCCGATAGGCGAGCGACTTAAACGTATACTTCAATAGAATAGTAACAATAATACTACCCCAACCTATTATAGTAAAGACTGTTCAGGCCTCCTCATCATTTGGCGAGAACCAAATTGGATAAGTTGGGTACGTTGGTAGTCAAGGGTGGCGAATGCTTTACGTTACGAGCAGCTTCCCTTCGCTCATACCTAGGCCATTTACTAATTGTTCACGGCGCTTAGAGGTGACATTGAGACCAAGTCCAAGCGCGAGACATCGCACCTCCAACCCTTCAGGTATGAGCTGAAACATACATGTCGGTATTGAACCGGTGAGCCACGTTTATAGACTTGCAGCTGATTTGCAGATCAAGCCCGTTTGTAGCCTGTAGGTATGTGATGCCTTTGGGGTCTTATGTGTATGCTCGTCAACAAATAAACGAGACGATAAGATGTTTCTCCGTGGTAGCTTGCTGAGCTATTCCGAGTTGGCGACTGATATCACTTTCTGTTCCCTTAGGTTGTATATGTGTACCCAAGATAGGTAGATAGACTACCTAGTTATATCTAGTTGGTCTAGCCAGGCCGAATAAGCACGGCGAGGCCGTTAATACTAGTATACACTTTTAGATATAAGAAAGCCAATAGGCCTGCTCCGTGAAGTGACTAGACGAATAAACTGAGACTGCCACGGCCCGAAATGTGGAGTACGCCGGACATCCACCCCCGGACCGACACTCTTGTCTTGATTCTTTAACTGGTCTTGATTTAGTTTGAGTCATTGATACCTTCCCGCTCTAAGACGGAGGGAGCCACGGGTTTCTCATTCGTCCCTGTGACTATCAAGCTCTTATTTCTCCAAGTGAAAGAGCACCTAACGTAGATCGTCGAGGCTCACCCCATTCAAAACTTGAATATTGAGTGATCGACAGGCGCCTTAGCTTGACGATAGATAGGTTAGCTGTGTAAATACTTGTAAAACTTGGGGCCGAGGATGGCAGCGTCGTTACCCGATACTACAACGCCATCGACGCAGTAGGAACTAACTTTACTACCTAGGTAGGTAAGGTAGGTAGGATTGCGAGATATCTTGACTCACAAACACTGCCTATTTCTAAGCAACCTAACGATACTGGGTCTCTCCACCATAAGCCAGCCTATATCCGATCGACGCTATAGTCTCCCAAGTACCTATCTCAGGTAAAGTTATCATATCTCAAATTTACAAGTGATAGCGTCTCATGCAGTGACTGGAACGCATGGCTCTCGGGATACTACCTAATGACTATTATTTTCGGATAGCTGCTTAATGGCGCTCCTCTAGACACTCGATAGCGGTTTGATAATGCGTCGATGGTCATGTTCTCACTTCCCCCTTGCTAGTGGCGCGATTAGAAAATTGTTATTGAGATTAGCGTATCTCCTTATAGCTTCAGATTCGTATTTGCTCTGATGCAAATAATATTAAGAGATAGTGTAGTGGGTTTTAATCATATCGTGTCACTCCTCTTCGAACTAAAACTTCTACTGAGAGCCTAATATGTATAGCATAGTGTTGAGTAATAGGGCAAGTGACGCGATCAATACAATGTATGCACAAGGAGTTGGAAAAGGATATTGTTAGACTAAGTAATATTTACTATAGAATGTTTTCTCGCCGGCCGTGAACATCATACGCGTATAATGAGATTATCCTCATCCCATTAGTGATTAGGTACCTAGGTAGTTTTCAAAAGTCAACCAGCATCCCCGTAACGCCGACCCATGCAAATTAACTTTCAACTGGGGTCGACTCTGAAGTGAACCTCGGTTAATAATAACTGATTGACTCTAATACGCTTGTTGTGTCTTATAGCAGAGCAAGGAAGCCTGCAACAACAGGCGCGATCGCTAGGTTCTTAACGACGTCCAGTACGCTGCCTGCGTTAGTGATAGGGATACTCGGCGAGGCAGTAGGTGTGGGTGTGGTCGTGGTGACGCTGCCGGTGCCGGTAGGGTACGGTACGGTGGTGTTCGAGCCGAGCACGGAGAAGTTTGCGCATGTGATACGAGTCTTGTTTGCGAAGTGGAATACAAGACTTCGGTTGCCGAAGTACGAACCGACGCCCTCGCTCAAGGACGTGTACGGGTCGTGATACTTGGCACTAAATGATGACTCTGAGCTTTGGATCTTTCCATATTTCCCGCTTAGGTCTCCCTGTTGGCACGACGCCGGACGTGTTGAGTCGCAAGCGGGGTCTTCGCCTCGAATATATTGGTCAAGATGCGCGAGCGTGCTGGTACAGTTGCCGTCTTCTGGGACAGGAGCGACGTGGATGTGGTAGACTTAATAAAGGTTAGTTGATATACAGAAGAAGCATTCACGGGGGAAGACATACTAAACGGTCCACCCTCCTGAGGCAAGTTCGAGAATGATATTTCATAGTCGACACCTTCGCCGTTTGCACCGGACTTGGCCACGACGGAACCCCTTACATTACCATTCAGGCTTCCTTTCCAGAATGGCTGTTCTGGTAATGTAGCAACGGCTGTTTTTCCGATAGGGTTGCCAGTAGTTACAGCGGCATCACCTAGTTGCTAATAAAGTCAGTCAACACTAACATTCTAGAACTGTACGATCACTATAAGTTGGAACTTACGCCGGTGACATTGACTTGGGCTAGGACGCCTGATGCACCAATGGCAGAGAGCGAGATAATATTAGACACACGCATTTTGTCGGGTTGTGAGAATGTGATAGCAAATTATGATAGAGATTCGGTTGTTCGAGTCTGGTCAGAATTTGTGGTTCGCGTATCTTAGGTAGCTTCTTGATGCTGTGGTCTCCGAAGGAAGGTGTAGCTTGGGAATTTATTTGGAAACTACTGAGGGAACCGTTTATGTACTTATTTGCTCAGGGGTTTTGTGCGTTTAAAAGCCAGAGTCAGACAGTGTTTAAAAGGGACAAAGACAAGCGGAGGTGAATAAGGGGACTGGAGGCTGTAAGTCTTTATACCCGTCTACACTTTGCCTCTGGTGATAGGTAGTAGGTGTGTCACTTTGTACTCCATTGTAGCCCACAGCTCACAGCCCGCAGCACAGCAACCAATGAACAATTCCTTGTCATAACATCATCTTAACTAACAAGGTCAAATTCACCCGCCATCGTCTACGCGGAAAAGGAAAAGGAATGGCCGGTGGTAGACATTTGATGAGACCAACGTCCACCGATGGGACCTTGCATCATTCCTCATCTAGAACTACCCAAAAATGGGAGCGTGGGACAGCAAATCAATGTAGAGTAGCAGGGATCAGCTAGTGACACTAACGAATCACATAACGGGGTCCGAGCCAACCTTGCCAAGAGCAGGGTAGTCCTAAAAGCCAAGAAAGCCAAGCAGTTTATCCGGAGGGACGGGAACAAACGAAACAAGAAACATCAGAAACATCTCTCTCTCCATGTGTTGCCGGCACCCGAATCCGTGATCTTAACCTACAGGTTCTACGCGTCGCCACGACTATTATGACAGCGGTAGTCCAAACTTCAGGAGCACAAAAAAAGAATGATGACGCTATAAACGGTTGGTTACGTGGAGAGCGTATGCCGTAGGTATGCAGGAAGAAGGTATGTAGGCTCTCCTATTCACCCATCGCTTCTCACGTCAGCCCCTTTACACAGTAGGGTCTTGTACTATGTAAATCTCATGTAGCCTAGCCCTCTGAATGGCAGCGCATTGTACAACACGTAGCCCGCGTTTTTTAGTTACTCCCAATTTGATTTGCGCTACCCCAAGTCCCTTCTAATAATACATACCAATAATACATACCTATGGAAAGAGAAAGTCCGAGTTGCTCAGCCATGGTAGAAGCCCCCAATAACCCACTACCCAACCACAAAGGACCCCTCCCTCCCTTGCCGGGACTGTGTCTGTAAGACTGCGCCTGTATGCCGAAGCTGATGCTACCATGTGTACCTACCTCCTAAGTAGGTATCCGTGCTATTATACATTAGGTAACTAAGTTGGTGAAAATAACAAAATAAAATAAATTGAAGTGAGATATCGACTATAATTGGACAGTGTAAATAAGAGTAAAATGGCAGAATGGATGCCATGCCCCGGCGGCTTTCTTGATAACGTATATGATTCGTCCCATCCAGTCAAAACGGTGGAAGATCGTCTACGACCCCAAATACAAGCCGCTAGTGTAGCTGCAGGCTTCGAGCCGCCGTCTGCAGGTACATACCATAGCGGAGGTAGGCGGTTTCACGGAATGGTTCCAATTTTTAGAATGTGCCAACCTGATTACAATGAAGTACGTAAAAAAAACGATTCTATTTTGTACAATGGTTCCAAAAGTATGGAATGGTTTCGTATGGAGCAACGGTTTTGCTTTAGGGCCTCTGATTGGCCCAAATTTCGATAAAAGTGGGGCAAAAGTTGAAAAAATTTAAAAAATGAAAAGACTGACTGGGCCTCGAACCCACAGCTCCCGCGTTCGTACATAGTACGTACCTTAAGCCCCACAACGAGGATTTAAGGTTTAAACGTTTGAGCTAATGGGACGAGGTGGCCAGTCTCATCGAATTAGTACGAAATTTCATTCGATTTTTACCCTTATAAGCTTTACTTTCTAAAAAGTAAAATTTTAACTTAGAAAAAAAAAATTTTAAAAATTTTTTTTTTGACTAAGACAATTGGAACGATTACATAATACGAGTAACGATAGTATGAAATGGAATGGTTTCACGGTTGGGGAACGGTTTTTGTAAAGTAAAAATGATAAAAATGAAAATTAGCCCCACTTATATTTGGATCCGACCAATCAGAGGCCTTAAAACCTAAAAACGTTGCTCCCCACGAAACCATTCCGTCGGTGGAACCATTCCGTGAAACCCCCTACCTCCGCTATGGTACATAGTACGTAAATGGTATTACCAGCCCTTTCATTATTTTTGACATTTGACCGCTGAACCAGTAGCTATTACGAATCCGCAACCACAATGTGCTTGTCCCATGATATATTTTTGCGAACCAGTCAAACCAGAGTTAACCATGAACAGACTAAAATCACTGCTCTCTACTTTTAAAGAGGTGTATTGGTGTATTTCGACATAATTGAACAACTCTTACGGTGCCAACAGAAACTTGACTTGTCTGCTCGTTAGTGTCGCTAATAATAAATCGAGTTTCGGTGAAGGAGCATTACATAGGCGCTAGGCGCTTGGTTTTAATATAGGTATTACATAGTACCTAAGGACAAGGTACTGTTGACGCTGGCCAAGGCCGAGGCTGTGAATGATTTCTAGCGCGTAGCTATATAGAGGCTTGCAGGTTTCGGGACCAATACAAAAACTTGGATTAAGAAGCCTTATATGGATCTGGTTCTTTTTGGTAGAAAAAGACCACCATTTCGGAGCGAATGATTCTAAGCGCGATGTTTGCACATAAATAACTCGAAACTAAGCTATGCCGGAGTTAGCGTCTATGTATATAAATGCGTCTTATTTTAGATACGTACTTAAGAGGGTCCACTATCATAGGTAACCGGATAAAGATAACCCGTTCCCGACGCCTCGTAGTCAGCCCCAGTTCCATCAGCCTCATGTCGTCAAGCCTCTCTCTACCTTAGCGTCAGATGGGGGGTAGTAGTAGCCGTATATATACAGTATTGGAGGCCTCCCCGAGGGGCGGCATAATCCTTAAGTTTACTGATAAGGTCTTATCTTATAAGCCAAACCAAACAATTAACTTAATTGGTTAAATCCCGTAAAGCCGTAATAGCCGCTTAACCTCGCCGCGTAAAAGGTCACGGGTGCAAGGCACGTACTTCGCACGTGCCTCGCACCCGTAACCCCCCGCGCGGCTCGGTAATTATATAAATTATTAATAATTTTAAAAATATAATAAAAATTAATTAAAAATATAATAATATTTATTTTAATATAAAATAATTTTTAAATTTTTTATTTATTTAATTTTTTAATAAATATATAATTTTATTTAATTATATTATAAAATTATTTTATTATTATTTAAATAAATTTAAATTATATATATTTATTTATAAATTATTATTATTTTTAAATTAATAATATATAAATAATTTAATATATAAATAATTTAAAATTATGTTATTTATTTAATTAAAATTAATAATTTTTTTTAAAATTTTATATAATTATATTATTAATTAAAATTTTAAATTAATATTATTAATTTAATTTTTTTAATTTTAAATAATTTAAATTTTTTATATTAAAAAAATAAAATTTATATATAAAAAATAATATTTAAAAATAAAATTATTTTAAAAATAATATATTAATTATTATATAAAAAAAATTAATTATATAATTAAGAGCAACACTAGTTGCGCAGTATGCCCATTGCTGCGTGCGCAGTAAATGGGGTACGTACCCGCCATTTTTTCCCACCCTTTTAACGTTTACCTCAATAACTCTACGAATACTAGCCCGATTGCTTTCAAAAAAACGTAATTAATTATATAAGAAAATCAGCAAAATTACAGTCCAGGGTGCACGTGATTTGGCCCAGAATTGGTAGAGATATTAAAGAAACCCCTATTTGTATATACAAAGTGGTATTTTCAGTGGTTTTCACTAGTTTCCAGTAGCGTATTTTATACATATAGCCGTATCTTTACGAAATAAATCGTTAAAAATATGGGGACTTTTTTATAAATTTAACCTTTTAGTTACTTAAATAATAAACCTTTTCCGGGATTTATCGGAGCTACATTCGTAAAGTTATTAAGGTTAAAAGGTGTTGGGATTACAGGGGATAAAAGCCACTAAAAAGAGCCTTGAAATAGCCACTATAGTTAAAATTCATACTTTCAGCCGCATCTGGGTCAATTCTGGTCCAAATCACGTGCACCCTGGATTGCAATTTTGCTGATTTTCTTATATAAATTATGCTATAATTTATATAAGATTTGGACCAGGATTCGTAAAGTTATCTAAAAAGAGGTGCGGAAAACGGTTTAAAGCTACCCGGTACGTAACCCCGCATACTGCGCACCCAGCAATGAGCACACTGCGCAACTAGTGTTGCTCATAATTAATTATTTTATAAAAAATATAAATATTAATTAAAATTAATAAATTTTATTATTATATTAAATAATTTTATATATAAATTAATTAATAAAAATTATTTATTAATAATATTTTAATATTTTAATTAAATTTTTAATTTTTATTAATAAAAAGTTTTTAAAAATTTTTTTAAAATATTTTTTTAAAAATAAATATTATTATTTTTATATAATTTATAAGAGCAATATTAGTTGTGTAGTATGCCTATTGTTACCCGTATAATAAAACGGGGTACGTACTTTATTTATCTCCCCCCCTTTTAACGTTTACTTTAATAACTTTACGAATATTTATCTAAATTATATTTAAATTATACCAAAAATTATATAAGGAAATTAGTAAAAATACGGTTGAGGTTACACGTGATTTAGCCCCAAATTAGCTGAGATATTTAAAGAGTAAGTATTTGTGTATATAAAGTAACTTTTTTACTAATACCTACTAGTTTATTTTAACTTATTATATAAAAGCAGCTGTATCTTTACGAAATAAATAGGTAAAATTGCAGGCTTTTTTTTATAATATTAACCATTTAATTATTTAAATTTTAAAACATTTTTAAATTTTATCGGGGCTATATTTGCAAAATTATCAAGGATAAAAGGTGTAGGGATTACAAGGGATAAAAGCCACTAAAAGGAGCCTTAAAATAGCCACTATAATCAAAATTCATACTTTCAGCCGCATCTAGCTCAATATTAGTCCAAATCATGTGCACCCTAGACTGGAATTTTTGTTATTTTCTTATCTAAATTTTGGTGTAATTTATATATGATTTAGACTAGAATTCATAAAGCTATTTAAAAAGAGGTGTAAAAAGCGATTTAAAGTTACCCGGGACTATACCCCGCATACTGCACGGGTAGCAATGGGCATACTACACGACTAGTGTTGCTTAATTTATAATTATTATTAAATTTACATAAAAAATTATTAAAAATATAAAAATAAAAATAAAAAATAAAAAAATTAATTTTATTTATTATTATTAATATTTAATATTAATTATAATAAAATATAATTATTTATATAAATTATAATATTATATTATAAAATAATTAATATTTAATTTATTATTATTATAAATATTATTTATAATTAT